GGACCGGCGTGCAACGCCACGCTAGGCAATGGGAACTCCTGCAGAGTCCCGGATGAGGTAATGATTCTACTGGCACACACACGAGCGGCACCGACGCGTGTAGGCGACATGACGTTTGGATCGGCAATGCGCCCTCATCAGAGCTGAGTTACACAGAGAGATCAGAAGTACAGTTCGTCGAAGAGGAGACAGACGGAGGGGCGTTCTGAAGCCAAAACGGAAGAAGAAGTATCACTGGGATTTTTAATCAAATTTAATGAACACGTGTCGCGACGAGCGCACAAGATGACTGCTAATTTTTGGACAAGTGCGAGACACACGCACAAGTACCGCCCGCGAGGTCGTGCACAGCACCAAAAGGCCGGACAGTAGGAGCTCACGGGAAGGATGGAGCGCCAAGTTGGGAGTGCCGTTTAAGGGATCCTTCGCATAACAGGAAATCCGACGCAACCCTGAGCTGGGAACCCCAAAACTTCGTCGAAGTTACAGTGCACGTTCCCGAAATGCGCATGCGGTCGGATCGCGAATACCGCGACGGCGACCACGCCCACCACCCCGCACCGGTACCGAACGACAGTGATAACGTTTAACATGTCCTCATCGAGGACTTACTCACCCATTTGTTCACACTAATCCCTCCTCAGAAATTTTTGGTTGTACCGTTTCGTTCCGCCTTTTCCTTGTGTTTTTGTTTTTTTTTCTTTGTTTTGTTTCGCTGATGCGACGCAGAGAACAAGAACCCCGCACCGCGGACAACGACGAATAAGTTTTTTTGACACACACAGACCGGCGATCCAAGATTAATTAAGAACTGCGAATCGACAATCGAAGTCAAGTGATCACTTGGTGCGTCACACTGAGAGGGAGAGCGAGTTGCTTTGTTTTGTTTTCCGTCGTACAGGGACGACAAGTCACAAGAGTTCGTCCACCCGCCATGAGGACAGTGCTGTAAAAGGAGACGGAAGAGAGTCTGAAGGACCAAAGTTAACTCGATAACCGAGACCATGCTCGTAATGAGAACTCCCTCCCACTACGGGGCTAAACTTTCTGTGTGTTAGCTCGAGAGTCAGAACGCGCATATCGGCGACGAGGGGAAGGATGATGGCCAGCGGCGAGTCACCGTCCCGAGCCACGCTTCGTTTTTCTTTGTTGAGTTAATCATCATCAATCCTTTCTTTTTATAGCTCATCAGAAATTCGTCTCAGGTGAGAAGTGGATCGGAACATAAGGACAACGTCAGAGGAGGATTAAGGCATTTCATACCGTCAGAACGCGACCGACGACAACCTGCAAATTGCTGTTCACAACTGTGAACCTGTCCCCACCACTCAGACGAGAAGCCATGAGGAAAGAAAATGTCGCAATAATTGAAGGACGACGTCCCGCGTCGCGGGCTCCTCGGAACTCCGGACGATCCGAAGCGGAGCTAAGGTACATCTGGGAATGTTACAGTGCGACGTAAGTCTCGACGTCATAAGCGAAGCGCAGTGATGAGGGGAGCCCCTACGCTTGTTTTTCAGTGAGTATTCACGGTTCGGCATTGTAGACCAAGAGGTATACAGGAGGAAACCGGGCTCGGTAATATGCGGTCGCATGTGAAAAACAGTTGAGGATCGCATGCTGCGGTACTTTGTACCAGGAGAGACAGCCCTCACCGAGACCGGATACGTTCCCGAATTTTTATTGACGTGTAGAGACGGGCGTTGCCAACGTGACTTGCGAGGCTTTTTAATGCGGAGCCACGGTTTGAAGAAAGATGACGTCGTGCGACACTTGGTCGACGGAGGTCGGAAGTCGCGGACCAAGGTCTAGAACGCAGCTGAGTGCTGCCGACGGAAAGCATACGTGTCTACTCGCGAGGCCATGGTATCGGAGCATGTACCCCGTCGGTGATAAGTAGGAGTTGCCGCGGAGAGTTTAGTGACACTATGCCTCGAACTATGGAGAGACAGAAGAGGGGGTCGCCCACGTTCCCAACCATGGAACTCGACGTCAGGAAAGTAACCAAAGAATGGACACCGCGTCCGAACTTCGACCATAGGCTCGAAACAATTTTGGACACTTGTCCACTTGTCAACGTTATGCGCCGTACTTCACCCGAGAAAGGCCTGTCGCCGACTCGTGCCCCCATTGAGGCTCGGTCACCAGCGATGAGGCAGGGGAACGTCAAGGGAAACGACTACAGTGCTGTCGTGGCGAAAATCTTTCATGATGTCTTTTAAGGGACGTCAATGCTGGACATAGTAATGTGTCACGCACGGGCGAGAGGACAAGCTATTTTTCGGCTTGATCCATGACCGATCCGCTCTGCGAGAGCAGGTAAAGGGAGTTTCGAGGATACACCCCCAGAGAAAAGACGACTGTCTTCATGACTCAAGCGCATGCGGACAGACCACGTGAGGCGAAATTGTCCGAATAAGCGGATCGCTTCCGAGACTCAAGGAGAGCCAGTAGTTCTGCGATGAGGGATCCAAACGGACCAAGGAGCAACTGAGGTTGCAAACATTGGTGTTGTACTGGGGACGACTAATGCAAAAGGGGAGAAAACGACTAGAAAAAAAATTGTCTGGGGCCGCCACGCCCCGGCCGAATGCAAGAGGAGGTCACAAAAGAGGAGGTAATCTGGGACCAGGGGGTGTAGTGCAATGCGCCTGTCGGGCAGAGACCGCGGTCCGATGGTCCAGCAAAAACAACAACAGCAACAAAAAGAAGAACTGCCGATGGCACAGCGCTACGGAGTGTCCGACTCTCCCTTCTCCGTTTAAACGAGCTTGCGACTCGTAGTAGCTCGGATTCCTGATGGCACAGAGAAATAGCCCGGCCCGGGATCGGTGTGGTAGAGACTTGCGAAGAGATCTGCTCGACGAGTGTGGAGTGGGGCGCGTACGTAGGTACCCCGGTTTCACTGGGTTGTAAGGCCAATGCTCGTTGAGCTTCTTCGACACCTTGTAACGCGACAAGGCCTTGGACGGGGGCGTCGCAACGCAGCCCGACGGGATGAAATGAAAGTAGCAGCGCTACGTCAACCGTGCCGCCCGATGGCTCGAAACACCTACACCGGTTCGGTCGCAACCGACACCGATGGTACCAACACTGGCTCGTAATATGACGGAGCCCTTCGAGGGAGACGTCGTTGCAACAGTCTCCGTCGGAAAATGGGTCACAGTAGCAGCGCTACGTCAACTGTGCCGCCCGATGGCTCGAAACACCTACAACGGTTCGGTCGCAACCGAGGCCGATGGCACCAACACAAGATAAGGGGAAAATAGGTAGAATTAGAGATAGAAAAGGATAGGGATATGAAAGAAAGAGAAAAGGGAACCCCGAGCGATAGAGGATGCCGTAGGCTTAGGTAAAAGGGAGCGTCTTGGTAGAGACGGACTTCGACCAAGGCGACATTCAACTCCGGCAACTCGGGTTACCTTTACTGACTTGGTCGTCAGAGGGCTAAGGTATATATCGCCCCGCCGGAGCCAGTACAGTAGCTCGCGGCGCTAGATCCTAGATCTAATCTAGTGTCAGCTAAATTAATGCCAACTAATTAACTAAATAAAATAAAATAATTAAAAATTAAAACTGTGCAATTATTCACACGTGTGTCCCCCAAACCCGGACTACTTTTCATATCCAAATGTTTTCCTTTCTTTTCACCCCCCTTTCCAGGTGCGTATTGCACTACATATCCCCCTTCTGAGCGCTCTCGCGCAGCGGCTTCACTCCCTTGCTTCCCAACTTCTTCCCTTTTCTTCCGACCATCGGTCGCCGCTCGCGTGAGAGTAAGACGATCTCCATGTTTCCTTCATCGGATCCCACTGTCGGACATACCGCCCGCGGTCGCCGCGGTGTGGGCTTCTCACACACGCCTTCCATTCCTAACGACCTTCCTGCCATACCCCGACTTCCCCCGAACACCAACGTTCCTGAACCTGAAGTCATGCGGAGGCGGCGTCGCCCCGCGCCGCGCCGCCGCGCCGACGAGCGCGCCGCGGTCCGCGTCGTCGTCGTCGCTGCCGCCCGCCGCCGCCGCCGCCGCCGCCGCTGCTGCTGCGCCCGCGGCTGCGCCCGCGGCCGGCC